TGTGTGAGACAGGATGATGGACTAGGTGGAGTACTGGTCTGATCCAGCAGGGCTCTTCTTATGTTCTTATGAAGGCCTTGGCCTCTATGCCCTGTTGTTGGTTATCCAGAGGAACTGGTTGGCCACTGTGTGAGACAGGATGCTGGACTAGGTGGACCCCTGGTCTGATCCAGCAGGGTTCTTCTGATGTTCTTCTTCTTTTTTTTTAAACCCCTGAAGACAGGATAGCTTTATTGATTTTTTGTTACACCCTACAAACTATAAAGAACAGAAAAGGGGAGGGAATAGCACCCCAGGATTAAAGAAAGTAAATTTACCCACACTATGACTAAAAGCCCAAGAAAGGAGATCATTAGCAGTTAGTATCCAGTTATTTTTTCAAAACAAACATTTTGTTTAAAGTCAATGAGTTAGAGAGTTAGTCAGTTCGTATTAGCAATTCAGGTCAGTTCAAGTGCGTTCTCATGAATTGTCCAGCCCTTGAAGCTTGACAGACGACTATAGAATCATCGACAGGGAGCTTGAACCTCTGAAGCAGGATTTGACCAATGAGTTTGGGGAACCCATTTATACAGGATGAGGATCAAAAGACAAGAGATGGGCAGTCTGGACCAGCATTACCAGGGACACGTCTGTATGTCCCTTGGGTCATACTTGGAAAGAGAGTGGTCATAAATGTTCTCTGTAGCCCTCACCTGGATAGCCCAGGCAGATCTCGGAAGCTAAGCAGGGTCGACTCCGGGAAGCACTTGGATGGGAGACCTCCTTGGAATACCAGCAGTCGGGAGGTGGGGGCAGGCTTTATTCAGCCGCATCTCTGAATATCCTCCAGGCCCCCAGGAGGGGTCAGTCACCAGAGGTCATTGTGGCTTCCAGGTGCACACACACTCACATTGCATGCACACATAACACACATATGGAAAATGCAAAAGAATAAAATAAATGTTTCCTATCAACAAGCAAGTTAGTTCAGGGAAGCTAACTAGCAGAATCCTAAGGTAGGGTTGCCAGGCTCCAGGTGCTGGCTGGAGACCTCCCAGAATGACAACTGATCTCCAGGCAACAGAGACCGGTTCTGTTATATCGTGGCAAGTGGTGAATTTGGTGACGTCCCCTTATTGAAGTAGTGAGTAATTTTCCCCTGGTCCCTTCGGATCTACCTACAAAATCTCCAGGCATTTCCCAACCCCCAAACTGGAAACCCTTTTCTAAGCGGATGCCATGTTCTCTCTGCCATCTCTTGGCGACATTCGGAAGGATTTATGCAGGGCTTTTTTTGTAGAAAAAGCCCAGCACGAACTCATTAGCATAACAGGCCACACCCAGCAGCAGAAACTCATTAGCATATTAGGCCACACCCTGATGACACAGCTCATTAGCATATTAGGCCGCACCCCTATGTCACCAGAAGTGTTGTCATCCAGCCACACCCACCTTTTGCTTCTTATTCTGTTTACCTTGTTTGTTGTCAAAACCCAGGGCCTTTTTTTGGAGCAGGAACTCCTTTGCATGTTAGGCCACACACACCTAATGTAGCCAATCCTAATGAGTTTCTGCTGTTGGTTGTGGCCTATTATGCTAATGAGTTCCTGCTGGGCGTGGCCAACTCGGGAGCCAGCCAGAACTCCGTTCCTGTGCGTTCCTGCCCAAAAATAGCCCTGGTTATGTATCAGGTTCTGCAATGGCTCGGCTTGGAAAGCCCCACGGTGCATTTCCTGTTGTGGGACTCAAGTGGTCTTTGTGCACCTTTCGGGTACAGGAAGGGGTGAGAATTAGGTTACGGAGAGGAATCGTTGGAGGGAGCGAAGGGACAAAAGTGCGGGCGGGGAGGACGCCGGCTGACAGGTGGCTCCATTGTGGGCTGGTGAGAGTTTCTCTGTTTTCCCCCATCAGGGTCTGACCCACAGCAAAGCCCAAGAGATCCTGGCCCGCGATGGTCCCAACGCACTGACCCCACCACCTACCACTCCCGAATGGGTGAAGTTTTGCCGCCAGCTCTTTGGAGGCTTCTCCATTCTCTTGTGGATCGGGGCCATCCTCTGCTTCTTGGCCTACGGCATCCAAGCGGGGACCGAGGACGACCCAGCCGGGGACAACGTGAGTGCTGGGAGGGAGCCCTTCCGTAGAGCGTTAGGGGTGCCGGGGGGAGGAGGGAGGAGAGGGAAACGAGGGGATGCCGTGGAGTTCCCGAGATTCCAGCTTCCTGTATCCGTTCCCGCCCTCTCACAGCTGTACCTAGGTATCGTCTTGGCCGCTGTGGTGATCATCACTGGCTGTTTCTCCTACTACCAAGAAGCCAAGAGCTCTAAGATCATGGAGTCCTTCAAGAACATGGTGCCACAGGTATGGACCGTGGATAGGGGGAGTACCGGTAGGGTTGCTAGAGGAGTGCGGTGGGCAGAACTCCGTTTCACTAGTTAGACCAGCAGTGTTCTATCTGGTACCCAATAAGAGGGCCTGAAAAGGCAGTAGGTTCAAAATTCTGCCTGGCAGGTCATGATCTTACCAGGTGGCGCCAGGCTTCATGTATAAACGGCCAGGCTGCTCCTCCAGTGCCTTTCGATTCTAGTCTGGCTCCTCTCCCAGTACCTTTGGATTATAATCTGGCTTCTCTCCCAGTGCCTCCAGATTCTAGTGTTGCTCCACCCCTAATGCATCCGGATTCTAGTGTGACTCCACCCCTAATGTCTCTGGATTCTAGTGTGACTCCACCCCTAATGCCTCCAGATTCTGTTGTGGCTGCACCCCAAATGCCTCCGGATTCTAGTGTGGCTCCACCCCTACTGCATCCAGATTCTAGTGTGGCTCCACCCCTAATGCCTCCAGATTCTGTTGTGGCTGCACCCCAAATGCCTCCAGATTCTAGTGTGGCTCCACCCCTACTGCATCCAGATTCTAGTGTGGCTCCACCCCTAATGCCTCCAGATTCTGTTGTGGCTCCACCCCTAATGCCTCCGGATTCTAGTGTGGCTCCACCCCCAATGGCTCTGGATTCTAGTTTGGCTCCACCCCTACTGCATCCAGATTCTAGTGTGGCTCCACCCCTAATGCCTCCGGATTCTGTTGTGGCTCCACCCCTAATGCCTCCGGATTCTAGTGTGGCTCCACCCCCAATGCCTCCGGATTCTAGTTTGGCTGCACCCCTAATGCCTTCAGTTTCTAGCGTGGCTCCACCCCTAATACATCCGGATTTTAGTGTGGCTCCACCCCTAATGCCTCTGGATTCTAGTATGGCTCTACCCCAATGCCTCTGGATTCTAGTGTGGCTTCACCCCCAATGCCTCCGGATTCTAGTGTGGCTCCACCCCCAATGCCTCTGGATTGTAGTTTGGCCCCACCCCCAATGCCTTCACATTCTAGTGTGGCTCCACCCCTAAATGCCACTGGATTCTATCGTGGCTCCACCCCCTAATGCCTCCAGATTCGAGTGTAGCTCCACCCCAAATACCTCCAGATTCTAGTGTGGCTCCACCCCTAGTGGCTCCAGATTCTCATCTGGCTCCTCCCCTTGCACCCCTCCCCAAATTCCATTTTGGCTCCACCCCTGATGAACCCAGGTCGTCCGTTGCTCTGTCTTGGATTGCTAAATTCTGATCAGGCGTGAGAGGAGAGCAGCCCAGAACCTCCAATGGTCCCTCAGCATATTTCTTGTTCTCAGCCTGGGTGTCCGAAGAGACCAACGTGGCACTGTGTATTGTAATTTGTGAACTGTGTCCAGGGTTGCCAAGTCTCACCTTACCTGCAGCAGGGGGCTCCTGGCTCCTCATCAGGACTTTTCCGGCGCACGGATGTCACCAGGAGGGGCGTCACCATGCTAGGGGCATTGCGTGGTAACGCTCTAGCATTCGGGGCAGAAACTCTATGGTAATCATAGAGTCCGTCCCAAATGCTAAAGTGTCGCCATGCAGTGCCACCAGCGTGATGATGTCACTACCGGTGACATCATTGCATCAGTGCTATCCCTGTGGGATGGTGCTGTTCGGGGGCGGGGCTTCCCCTGGATCGGGGCCCCTGAAATCAGAGGATCTCCTGGCCCAACTGGGGGGGATGGCAACCCTAACTGTGGCAGACCCTGGTTGAGAACCAGTGTGGTGTAGTCAGGGGCCATTTTGTAGAAAAAGAGGTGGAGGAGCTCATTAGCATAACTCATTAGCATAACTCATTTGCATGTGACACACCCCCTGACATCACCGGACGTGTGTCAGAAGGCAACACCCACCGCTCAGGCTCCACTGGACTGTTTTGGATTGCCAGCTATTGGGGGGAGGGGGGAACGTGCCGATCTGCCCTCTCAGAGGAGGGAGAGCTTGTACCTGAAGGCGGGCCGGGGGGGGGGGCTCTGCAACTTACCTGGCTGCTTCTTGCTCCTCGTGGCCCGACTGAGGGCTGCTGGGAGCAGGGGGCGGGGCTTGTTGCGTGTGCCTGCCCCCTGAGCTATTTACTGCCGGAGCGCCGCTCCTGTCCGCTCCCGCAGGAAATGACCCTTGGGTGTAGTAGTTAGAGGGCCAGACTAGTATCTGGGAGGTGCGGGTTCAAATCCCCACTCATGCTGTGGGAGCTCGCAGGGTGACCTTGGGCCAGTCATACCCTCTGAGCCGAACCTATCTTGCAGGCAGGGTACAATGGAGGAGAGGAGACTGCTGTAAGCCCCTTCGGGTTTCCACTGGGGAGAAAAATTGGGTAGAACTGAATTAAATAAATAGTACCATTGACTGCAGCCGGCTAGTTTGTCTTGTTCCTGCACTATCTAATAAACCTATGAGCTGATTTCACTACATCATGCATCGGACCCAGTATATTATAGTTAGCTTTCATAATTTATGTTCTGAGGAGATTGGGTTTTTTTAGGCAGAAGCGGTACCAAATATGGCTGTAATTTTAGGTAATTTGTCTCTTAGTTTGGTCACAGCGTTCCGTGCGCCTTGGTGTTTAGTCATGCCGGCCACATGACCACGGAAACGTCTTCGGACAGCGCTGGCTCTTCGGCTTGGAAACGGAGATGAGCACCGCAACCCTGGAGTCGGGCTCGACTGGCTTTCGAGCAAGGGAACCTTTACCTTTACGTTTACCATTGACTATTGATCAGTTATTGAAAGGTGGGCTGGCGGTGTGTGGGACAAAGAAAACCGACAGAGCAGAGTTCCTCGACATTTTGGGGCCTGCAGGCACCATTGGAATTCTGACACGGCGTGGTGGGCCCAGCCCCGGTATGGCTGCCGCAAAATGGCTGCGGCCAGCTGACTTTCACTTACACGGCGAAGATCCTTGTGCTGTGGTGGCAGCAGCGGCCAAAGCAATGTTTTTTTAAAAATCTGCACCGCCGATCAAATCTCCAGTGGCCAATCGGAAGCCCCACCCGGCCCGGCCCACTTTCTAAAAATGCGTGTGGAAATCAGGGGATAAACCAAAGCGGCATGGTGCCAGGACTGAGGTAAAAAACCCGTGCCGAAAAGCCCTCTGTTTTTGTGCCAAAAACAACAGAGGAACATACATAGTAAAGGTAAAGGTTCCCTTGCTCGAAAGCCAATCAAATCCGAACTCTAGGGTTGCGGTGCTCATCTCCATTTCAAAACCGAAGAGCCAGCGCTGTCCGAAGACGTTTCCGTGGTCATGTGGCTGGCATGACTAAACACCAAGGCACACGGAACGCTGTTTCCTTCCCACCGAAGTGGTCCCTATTTATCTACTTGCAATTTCTTGCTTTCGAACTGCTAGGTTGGCAGGTGACATACATACAGTTTCCCAAAACATGCCGGGAAAATAAAAACCAAAATAAAAGTCGAGGGGGGTTTGGGAGTGGGCGTTGTTAGAGGGCGAATTCACCCACTGTCTGGGAGTACATCCTTTTCCTCTCGTGCCTCTGGAGCTTTGAAGGAACTGAATTGTAATTGTAATTCGGAAGCCTTTCCAACCGCCTCTGGTACGACATTCGTGATACAGGAAAACACGGATGCCTGCAGGTCCTGAGCGATGGTAGAAGTTCAACAAAGTCTAAGACTCTCTAGTGGACAGTGTTTCTTTTAGATGTGGGTTAAAAATCCTAGCTGCTATATAAATAGATGGCATTTGGTACCTCTCTATTTCGGGATTCCCGCACTTGCAAGATGGGAACAGAAATAAACAGTCTCGAAAGGATCGATTTTTAAGGAAGGATGAATTGATAAATTGAGGATTGCCGGTTGGTGCAGTAACGTCTGAGGCCTTTGCGTGTCGAAAGTGTGACACAAACAACAACAGAAGCGACAACTCAGTGGCTTTTGTCCCTCCCGGAGACAGTACGCTAGGGCAATGCATTTTAGGGTACTGATAGCTGACAGTCCCCAGAATTTGTATATACTGCCCTGATCTTGCTAATCCTCTTGATAGAGGCCAGCTTGGTGTAGTGGTTAGGAGCGTGGACTCTAATCTGGGAGAACTGGGTTTGATTCCCCACTCCTCCACATGCAGCTGCTGGTGTGACCTTGGGTCAGTCACAAGTTCTCTCAGAGCTGTTCTCTCAAGGACAGTTCTCGCGCGAGCTCTCTCAGCCCCGCCTACCTCACAGGATGTGTGTTGTGGGGAGGGGGAGGGGAAGGAGATTGTCAGCCGCTCTGAGACTCCTTTGGGTAGCGAAGGAGGGGTCATAAATCCAATCTCCTCTTCTTCTCCTCCTCCTCCCCTAGCAAGCCCTGGTCATCCGGGAAGGTGAGAAGATGCAACTCAACGCCGAAGATGTGGTGGTTGGAGACTTGGTGGAAGTGAAAGGTGGAGACAGAGTCCCAGCCGATCTGAGGATCATCTCGGCCCATGGATGCAAGGTGAGGCCCTTGAGTATGCATTCCCCTCCCCAAAAGAATTTCCTGAAGCATGGGACACCTGGTGAGTGGCGCTGTGAGGCTTGCAAAGGCTTCTCTCCCTTCCTTAACCAAACCTAGTGGAGAGAAGAGCTCTCGCTACCAGCTTCGGAGACAGAACATTCACAATTTGTCGGGCATCAAGCGAGACGATTCAAATTAGCACCACAATGGCTGCGTCAGACATTCCTTCGCACAATGTTCTGTTCTGAAGATATTTCTGTCTCTTCTTTATTAGGAAGGAGGAGCTGAGTGGGGCTTGCATTTTAATGTACAAGAAACAGATATTTGTTTTTAATTGCACAATATACCAGGAAGTTCTCGAGCCAGTTTGGTGTCGTGGTTAAGAGCGCGGACTCTAATCTGGGAGGACTGGGTTTGATTCCCCACTCCTCCACATGCAGTTGCTGATGTGACCTCAGGTCAGTCACAAGTTCTTTCAGAGCTGTTCTTTCAAGAGCAGTCCTCGAAGGAGCTCTCCCAGCCCCACCCACCTCACAGGCAATGCTCCCTCTAAACTGTGGAATCTTGTGAGCAAAAATTCTCCTTTGTGAGCTACTGGCATTAAAGTTGTGAACGAGGGATTTGGCTGCTGCATAAATTAGTCTGCTCCGGAGCCATCCTTCCTGAGCTAAGACAAAAATGTGTGAGCCAGAGGCTAAAGAACTGTGAGCTAGCTCACACTAACTCAGCTTAGAGGGAACATTGCTCACAGGGTGTCTGTTGTGGGGAGGAGAAGGGGAAGGAGATTGTAAACCGCTCTGAGACTCTAAGTGAAGGGCAGAGTATAAATCCAGTCTCCTCCTCGTCCTCCTCCTTCTTTTAACATGTCAACTGACTCTATTTTAGAGCCCTGAATTCAAATTTCTTTTTTATTCCTTTATTCAGATATTCATATACTGCTGATCCCTGTAGAAATGTTAAATTCGAAGGCAGAGGCCAGAGATCCCTTGGATTTCCTAGTATTTGCATGCAGACTTTGAGAATTTGAAAATTTGAAACATGAATTCCGCATCAAAGTTCAAAATGAGGCCACTTGAATGTGAAGCTCTCGACAAGCCATTTTTCACTACATGTGTGGTTCTCTGTCTGCCCAGGTGGATAACGGCAACCAGGGCTGGATCCTTTTCAGTGGCGGCCCCTACCTGGTGGAACGAGCTCCCGGAGGAGATCAGGGCCCTGCGGGATCTTATGCAGTTCCGCAGGGCCTGCAAGACGGAGCTCTTCCGCCAGGCTTTACATAGGGGCCGCCGCTGCCACCATCACCAACGGTGGCAATACTATCGGGTCGCGGGATCGCCCTGGGAATGCCCAGCCACATGTGATATTAACAACGTGGATTGGTATGAATGACCAACTGGACAGTGAGACCCCAATGGGGCTGGTTTGAAGATAACCACTCAAGACCATCTTGACTGAAAGCACTTTATTATTGTTATTAATGTTCTACTGTGATTATTGTTGTAATTGTAATTGTGATTTTAGTGTTTTATTGGGTTTTATATATGGGCTCGCGCCCCTTGTAAGCCGCCCTGAGCCCGCTTGCGGGGAGGGCGGGGTAAAAATGCTTAAAATGAATGAATGAATGAATGAATGAATGAATGAATTCTGCATCCAAGTTCAAAATGAGGCCGCTTGAATGTGAAGCTCTCGACAAGCCATTTTTCACTACATGTGTGGTTCTCTGTCTGCCCAGGTGGATAACTCCTCCTTGACTGGTGAATCAGAGCCCCAGACGCGATCACCCGACTGCACCCACGACAACCCCTTGGAAACCAGGAATATCACCTTCTTTTCAACCAACTGTGTAGAAGGTATGACCAAAACCTAAAAGGGAGATGAGGGGGGTATAGATTGATGGGAACTGTCTAGGTGGTGTCTAGGAAAGTCTACCAGGGTGCTGGTGGAAGAACAATATCAATATATCTAATTTCCAACCCGGCCAAATCTGAGGATACTTAAATCCAGGGATTGGAGCCCTGAACGGACAAGACAGGTCTTAGAAACATAGAATCAGAGTTGGAAGGGACCTCCAGGGTCATCTACAATCCACAATGCAGGAAATTTGCAAATACTTCCCCCTCCACACACACCCAGTGACCACGCCCAGGATATGACAAAAAACCCTCCAGGATCGCCGCCCAAAATGGCTTGTAGAAAAATTGCTTCCTGACCCCAAAGTGGCGATCAGCATTTCCCTGGGCGTGTAACAAAGGGCCACCAGAAAGGTCCTACAAACCTGAAAGATGCCTCAAGTTTGCAAAAAAACCCTGAACTCTAACCCCTCCCCCCAAACATTGGTGAGAAGGAAGCAGGCAAAGGGAAGAGGCTATGGAGGCTTGCAGAGAGGTGAGAAGAAATAGTGGAGGAGGGGACAATGTGACGTCTGCGCAGGTCCCCGCAGGTTCCTGCTTGTATTAGGTCCAATTCCTTGGGGGCGATCTGCATTACAGACCTACATGAGATAATAGCCATTCTCTTTCCTGGGAAAGGTAGATATTTCTAGCAGATGCTTCTCGTTCTTCCTGAACTACAGTTCTCAGGATTCTTTGGGAGAGGTCAGGATCAATGTTCCCTCTAATCCCCCCCCCCCACTGGGCGGAAGAGTTCACGTCCTGAGCAGAACAGAACTGCCGTAAACTTAAAATGGGCAATGGGCAGTGCAAGACCCTGCGCCGATCCAGACTACTGCTGAGTGGGGCTTCCTGTGTTAATGAGCGGCCGCTCACTCGCACAGCGTAAAGGGAACACTGTCCATGATACTATGTGTAGTAAATGAGCATGAAACCAACATAAGAGAGTCAGTGGGGTATAGCGGTTAGGGTGTGGGACTAGGATCTGGGAGACCCAGGTTCGAATCCCCACTTATGCGATGGAAGCTCGCTGGGTGACCTTGGGTCGGTCACAGTCTCTCAGCCGAACCTACCTCACAGGTTTGTGGTGAGGATAAAATGGAACAGAGGAGAGTGATGTAAGCCGCTTCGGGCCCCTACTGGGGAGAAAGGCGGGGTAGAAGCGGATTAAATAAATGAATGAAAGGTTGCAGTGCAGAGATGCCTACAAAGCGGCCCTTTCGTCCTCCCAGGCACGGCACGCGGCGTTGTCATCGCCACCGGCGATCGCACAGTGATGGGCCGAATTGCCACCCTGGCCTCGGGCCTGGAGGTTGGCAAGACCCCCATCGCCGTCGAGATCGAACACTTCATCCAGCTCATCACTGGCGTGGCTGTCTTTTTGGGGGTCTCCTTCTTCGTCCTCTCCCTGATCCTGGGCTACAGCTGGCTGGAAGCCGTCATCTTCCTCATCGGCATCATTGTGGCCAACGTCCCCGAAGGGCTTCTGGCTACCGTCACCGTAAGTACTGCAGACCAGTGTTCCCTCTAAGCTGAGTTAGTGTGAGCTAACTCACAGTTTTTTAGCCTCCGGCTCACACATTTTTGTTTTGGCTCAGGAAGGAGGGCTCCAGAGCAAACTAATGTATGCAGGAGCCAAAGTGTTAGCTCACAACTTTAGTGCCAGTAGCTCACAAAGTAGAATTTTTGCTCACAAGACTCCACAGCTTAGAGGGAACATTGCTGCAGACTGTAGGAGCGCTTGCGGAATGGGTACTCTGGTCGCATGTCCACAGACGTGGAGGTGAGAGGATCTAAGAACCTAAGAAGAGCCCGGCTGGATCAGACCAGTTGTAGCAAAATCCTGAGCTGGATTCGAGTCCTGTAACCAACGTTCCCTTTAAGCTGTGGAGTCTTGTGAGCAAAAATTCTACTTTGTGAGCTACTGCCATTAAAGTTGTGAGCAAGCAATTTGGCTACTGCATAAATTAGTTTGCTCTGGAGCCCTCCTTCCTGAGCTAAGACAAAAATGTGTGAGCCAGAGGCTAAAAAACTGTGAGCTAGCTCACACTAACTCAGCTTAGAGGGAACACTGCCTGTAACCCCTTAGAGGGTTTCAAGGTATAAGCTTTTTAGACTCAAGCTCACTTTGTGACGCAGAGGCAGGCGGTGGCAAACCACCTCTGAAATGTCTCTGGCCTTAAAAACCAATCTAGCTCGCCACCTAGTGGTGCATCACGTTAAAAGAGCCAGAACGTATGGTTGCCAGACAATCTTAGGCTCTCCTGGCTATACTACACACGATGCCATACAATAATTAATTGATACTCTCAAAAGTTTATACTCTGAAAATCTTTCGGGGGGTATTTTTGTATTTGTGTGTGTGCCTGCCTGTGCCTGGAAGTCATGGCGACCTCTGGCGACTCCTACTGGGGCATAGAGCAGGGGTGTCAAACATGCGGCCCGGGGGCTGGATCAGGCCCACGAGGGTTTCTGTCAGGGCCGCAGTGGAACTGGCTGCCCTCTGCTTCTTCTTCCAGTTCTGCTGCTGCTGCTGCATCATTGTAGGTCTGCAGCTTACAGATACACACCTGAACAGCATACTCAAGATTGCAACAGCACAGACATTTTGATGCAATATGATTTAATAATTCAGAGCAAGGGGTGTCAGTTATCAGACACTGTTCAATAAACAAAATATTGCAAGGGTGCTCATGTTTTAAGCATGTTTTTATTTTAAGTTAAAAAAAACCCCTTTGCGTTTGTGTCCTTTATAAAGTATATATCTCTGCTACCTGGCATTACATTTTATGACACACGTGGCCTGGCCCAACAAGGTCTCATTTATGTCAGATCCGGCCCTCATAACAAATGAGTTCGACACCCCTGGCATAGAGGATGGTCAGAGATGTGGCTTGATACCCTGCCTCTGGCCTCCTGGCCCTGGTATTCTCTTAGGGCTGCCAATTGGGGGCGGGTGGCGGGTAAACCCCCGCTTTGGAGGCCTGTTTTCCGCCGCCGCGGAATCGGGCCCCGGGGGGAACTCCGCCCCCCGAAGCGCAGCATGGCTGCATCACCAGAGGTGACGCAACCATATTGATCACGTTGGGGGCATGGCCCCGATCGTCGGAGGGAAAACTCTATGGTTTTCCCTCCGACGATCGGGGCCACACGCTCAATGTGATCAACATCGCGCGTCACTTCCGGTGACGTGCTGGCGACGCGCGCGCACGATGAGGGACGGCTTTCAGAGCGTGGCGAGGCTCTCCCGCTGGTGAGTAAAATTCACTTGGCAACCCTATATTCTCTGGGGGTCCCCCATCCTAATACTCGCCCGTGTCGGCCCTGCTTAGCTTCTGAGATCTGATGAAATCGGGCTTGCCTGGGCTATCCAGGACAGGGCTATTTTGAAAATCTTGTTGGCTACTGAACTCGAATTCTAGCTCTTGTGCCGAAGACCAACATGGCTACCCTCCAGTATTCCCTCTAAGCTGAGTTAGTGTGAACTAGCTCACAGTTCTTTAGCCTCCGGCTCACATATTTTTGTCTCAGCTCGGAAGGATGGCCCCAGAGCAAACTGATTTATGCAGTAGCCAAATGGCTTGCTCACAACTTTCACGCCAGCAGCTCCCAAAGTAGAATTTTTGCTCACAAGGCTCCACGGCTTAGAGGAAACGTTGCCTCTGTAGCAAAATCCTGAACTCAAGGTGCATAATAGGTTTAAAGTTCTTTATTTAAGTGCCTAAGTGCTTTTCAGTCAACCGACGTCTTGACGCAGGGTATCTGGGTAAAGGGTTGCCTATGCACTTTCCCATATAAGTATCAGGACTAGAGACAACCAGGGTTTTTATTTTTCCTGGAAGCTGGAGATTTAGGGAAAGGGCCTGGAATATCCCTGAGGGCCCCAGGTTCTGATACTGAATGCATGAAGCTGCCTTCTATTGAATCAGGCCCTTGGCCCATCAAGGTCTGTAGTTTACTCAGACTGGCAGCGGCTCTCCCGGGGCTCCGGCGGGGGTCTTTCCCATGGTCTCAGGCAGAGGTCTTCACCATCACCTACTCCCTGGCCCTTTTAACTGGAGATGCTGAGGATTGAACCTACAACCTTCTGCATGCCAAGCAGAGGCTCTGCCACTGAGCTTCAGCCCCACTTCATGGCTCTCCAGGGTCTCAGGCAGAGGCCTTTCCCATCCCCTCCTGCCTGGTCCTTTCAATTGGAGATGCTGGGGATTGAACCTGGGACCTTCTGCATGCCAAGCTAGGGTTGCCAAACCCCCCTGGTTTGCCAGGGGTCCCCCAATTTGGGGGGGGGTTTCTACCCGCCGCTGGCCAGATGGTCGGCGGGGGAAGCCCCACCCCCAACACCCACAGCCACCCATCTCTCTCCCTTTAAGGGTGTGCAGCCCGTGTTTCATCCCAGCTTGCAGGGAAAAGCCAGCTTCGTTCTTAAAAGGGAAACGCATCTTCTCCTAAAGGGGAAACGCCGGCTGTCGGCTACTCTAAGTGCAGGGAACTGCTGTTTCTGGAGATCCGGCGCACGGCCGGGTTGGGGGAGGGTGGCAGACGACCCCAACGTGACGTCATCACGTTGGGAATGCCCCACCCCTTCCAGGAAGGCCCCCAAAGTCCCCCGCTGGGGGTGGAAGATGGACTTGGCAACCCTATGCCAAGCAGAGGTTCTTCCACTGAGCTACAGCCCCACTTCATGGCTCTCCAGGGTCTCAGGCAGAGGTCTTTCCCATCACCTCCTGCCTGGTCCTTTCAACTGGAGATGCCGGGGATCGAACCTGGGACCTTCTGCATGCCAAGCAGATGCTCTTCCACTGAGCTACAGCCCCTGCCCTCTGTGGCTGACCATCCAAAGAACAGAAGGTTATGGAGAATTGTCCAGCTTTGTAAGTCCTGTCTGCCTTTGCAAATCTGATGTGTCCCAATTTGGAGGCTTTCTCGCACTCTGCCATCCCACTGTCTCCCTCCCTCCTATCAGGTGTGTCTGACCCTGACCGCCAAGCGCATGGCACGCAAGAACTGCTTGGTGAAGAACTTGGAAGCCGTGGAGACCCTGGGCTCCACCTCCACCATCTGCTCGGACAAGACGGGGACCCTGACCCAGAACCGCATGACCGTCGCCCACATGTGGTTTGACAACCAGATCCATGAAGCCGATACCACCGAAGACCAGTCTGGTGAGGGCTGTGGGGGGGAGGGATAGGTAGACTTCACATCTGTCTGGGATGGTGGGAAGGTGTTTCTTCTAGGGGAATAGGAGCACCTCTTTCACCTTTGGGATCATCTAGGTTCTTTAGAGAGCCAGTTTGGTGTAGTGATTAAGAGTGCAGACTCTAATCTGGGAGAACTGGGTTTGAATCCCCACTTCTCCACATGCAGCTGCAGGTGTGACCTTGGGTCAGTCACAAGTTCTTCCAGAGCTGTTCTCTCACGGGCAGTTCTTGGGAGAGCTCTCTCAGTCTTTTGTGGGGAGGGGAAGGGGAAAGGAGTTTGCAAGCCACTCTGAGACTCCGAGTGTAGGGCAGGGTATAAATCCAATCCCCTCCTCCTCCTCGCAGCCCCGTAGCTAGGGAATTCTTTGGGAGGGGGCCTTGGGGGGGCCCGCCACCACCTCGTGTGCTTCCTCTTCCTCCTCCTCTTCTTCTTCATCTTCTTCTTCCCCCCTCCTGGGCATCCACACCCCACTCTCTTCCTCCACCCTTAGAGTTTCACCCTGCGACTTTTTTAAAATCTCCCCTTTCTCTTTCCTGTAGGCACGGCCTTTGATAAGAGCTCTGCTACCTGGGTGGCCCTGTCCAAAATTGCAGGTCTTTGCAACCGTGCAGTGTTCAAAGGGGGTCAGGAAAATATTCCCATCCTCAAGGTGAGAGCAGAATACCCAGACCTCCATGAGAAAGAATGCTGAGAGCTGGGGGGGGGGAAGTGGGATGCAGAAGAAAGGGATCGGCTTTGGGGTGTTCTTTGCAGGGGAATGGAGGGAGCAGGGGTCATTTTGTAGAAAAAGAGGTGCAGGAGCTCATTAGCATAACTCATTAGCATAACTCGTTTGCATATGCCACACCCCCTGGCATCACTGGAAGTGTGTCAGAAGGCAACACCCACCGCTCAGGCTCCACTGGACTGTTTTGGATTGCTAGCTATTGAGGGGGGGGGGACGTGCAGATCTGTCCTCGCAGAGGAGGGAGAGTTTGTACCTGAATAAAACTTAGTCTTAAAGCTGCCACTGGACTGTTTTGGACCAGGGGGGGGGGGGGGGCTCTGCAACTTCCCTGATTGCTTCTTGCTCCTTGTGGCCCAACTGAGGGCTGTTGGGAGCAGGGGGCGGGGCTTGCTGCATGAGCCACACCCCCTGGGCTCCTTACTGCCGGTGCTCCGCTCCTGTGCTCTCCCGCAGGAAATGACCCCTGGGCGTAAGGCAACCTGCTTCAATTTCTTGCATCTTCTTTCCAAGCAAATAATAATATGGAGGTTGGCAGCTTGGGGATGGGGAGGCTGGAAAGTTCTCACGTCTTACAGCCAAGCCAAAGGATGTGGGATCCTGTCCAAAGCCGATCTTTAAAATGCGCCTCCTCCTCCTCTTCCCACAGCGTGACGTAGCGGGAGATGCTTCCGAGTCGGCCCTTCTGAAGTGCATCGAGCTCTCGTCCGGATCCGTCAAACTCATGCGGGAGAAGAACAAGAAAGTGGCTGAGATCCCCTTCAACTCCACCAACAAATACCAGGTATGGACTCTCAGCAGGGGTGCCAACCTCCAGGTGGCGGCTGGAGATCTCCCGCTATTGCGACTGATTTCCGGCTGACAGAGACCAGTTCAACTGGAGAAAATCCCTGCTTTGGAGGGTGGGCTCTATGAAATCTCTCCCCTCCCCAAACCTCATCCTCCTCAGGGCCCACGCACCCCCCAAATCTCCAGGTAGTTCCCAACCTGGAGCTGGCAACCCTAATTCTCAGGCTGTTGGGCCAGCCCTCAAAAGGTAGTTAAGAGTCCTGCCGGATCAGACCTGTGGTCCATTTCATCCGGCATCCTGTCTCTCACAGTAACCCGCCAATTGTCCAAGAGGGCCAGCAAGAAGGGCATAGAGGCCAAGGTCTTCCCCTAATGTTGCCTCCTGTCACTGGGATTGAGAGGTTGGCTGCCTCTGAAGATGAAGGTTCCCTTTAGTCACCATGGCTGATAGCTGCTGGTAGACCTCCATGAATCTGTCTAATCCCATTTTGAAGGCACCTGCAGCCATCACCATATCCTCTGGCCGCAAGCTCCACGTGTCAATCACTTGCTGAGTAAAGTACTTCCCCCCCTCCATCTTACATCTATTACCTCATTGGATGCTAGGGTTGCCAGGTCTGGGTTGGAAGATAGCTGGAGACTTTGGGGGTGGAGCCAGGAGAGGGCGGGGTTTGGGGAGGGGAGGGGCCTCAGCATGGTCCAATGCCATGGAGACCACCCTCCAGAGCGGCCATTTTCTCCAGGGGAGCTGATCTCTGTCAGCAGGAGATCATTTGTAAAAGCGGGAGATCCCCAGGCCCCATGTGGAAGCTGGCAATGTTATTGGATGCCCTCGAGTTCTACTGTTTGGGGAGACAGAGGAAAAAGTTTTCTCTATCCACTCTGTGTGCCTTGTGTGTAATTCTGCAAATTCTCTTCACGTTCACATATATCCCCCATGTCCAGAATCTTCCTTCATGTAAGTTTCTCCTTTACTCAAAATGGCTGCCATACGTTCCCTTCAGCGTCCTTGAAGGCCCATTCTCTAGGACGTTCTTCTCTGAGAGGGCCGTGGCCACGTGTGACCCATTCGTATGGTGACTGGTGTGCTCAGGCAGTATCTAGAAACCTCTACAACCTTTTCTCTAACAGGCCTTAATATTTTCTTCACATTCACCTGTAAATAACACTACAACATTATCTCCCTCTCTTCCAGAATCTTTCTTCATATAACATTTCTCTTCATTCAAAATGGCTGCCATTTCCCCTTCAGCTCCCTTGAAGGCCTGTTCTCTAGAACTTTCTTCTCTGAGAGGGCCGTGGCCACATGTGACCCATTTGTATGGCGACTGATGTGCTCAGGCCGTAACTAGAAACCTCTGCAATCTTCTCTAACAGGCCTTAATATTCTCTTCACATTCACCTATAAATAACACTACAGCATTATCTCCTTCACTTCCAGAATCTTCCTTCATATACCTTTCTCTTCACTCAACAATGGCCACCGTATGTTCTCTTCAGCTCCCTTGAAGGCCCATTCTCTGGAACATTTTTCCCTGTGAGAGGGCTGTGGCCACATGACCCATTTGTACGGCAACTGACGTGCTCAGGCCATATAAGAACATAAGAACATAAGAGACGCCAATGTTGGATCAGGCCAAAGGCCCGTTCTCTAGAACTTTCTTCTCTGAGAGGGCTGTGGCCACATGTGACCCATTTGTATGTATCTTCTCTTTAACAGCCGCGCTCCCACTGTTGACCCCCCCCCAAGCACCAAGAAGACAGAGCATCATTTGCCCCAGAGCCTCTATCTATACCTTGTGGCTAACAGCCGCTGATGGACCTCTGCTCCATATGCTTATCTAATTCCCTTTTGAAGCGGTCCATACTTGTAGCCACCACCACTTCCTGTGGCAGTGAATTCCATGTGTTAATCACTCTTTGGGTGGAAAGAGAAACCTCTGTGAGGGGGACATTCAGCCTTTTGCCGTCAATAAACTGGCTGCATCAAGGATCTGGGTGAGGAATATAATTTGGGTTCCACCGCCTCATTGCCAGGGTCCTGTCAGGTCTCCTTTCCCAGTTGAGTCATCCCTCATTGTTGCAGTAACAGCTATTCTGGCCGTTACTCCATTATTCTATAGGAGGAACCACCTAGGGTTGCCAAGTCGGGTGTTTTCCCTCAGATGACTGTGGCCCCTTGGATGACCGTGGCCCCACCCCCAGCGTGCCCGGCGTGCTCATGTCACTTCCGGGCGACGCGCACGTCGGGGTGGGGCTCCCCCCGGGGCCCGATCTGCCGCTGGCGGGGAATGGGCCTCTGGGGCAGGGGTTTCCCCGCCCCCCGGGGGGACTTGGCAAGCCTAGAACCCCCTTAGCCCGTTTCTGATTCTAAATTGCGTAAAATCAACACACGGAGGAGGGGAATTGGGATCACAGCGGCAGGCCCCGCACTGACCCTCCAGGCGCCTGATTGCTCGTCAGGGCACATGGTCTGCGTGAGGATGTCTATCTTGCATGTGCGTAGGCACAGAGTGGCAATCGATGCATGACTCTGAGGGGTGGGGCCCGCTGGCACACTCCTTCTCCCCGCCACCCACCCTGCCATGCATTGATTCCACACATTTTTCAGAAGTCGGAAAGAGCTCTCGTTTCAAGCCTCTTTCTGCAGGGATACGGAGACTGCTCTTCGTTATAACCCCAGAGCTTCATGGATTGATACTTTTGCATCACGATGTTCCCCTAAGGAACTCTGAGTGGATTTCGTGGCGCTACCAAGCAGGCCAAGACCTCCATAAAGTCACTGTGTCTGCCAGAGCCCTCAGCCTAGGGTTGCCAACCTCCAGGTGGGGCCTGGAGATCTCCTGCTATTACAATTTATATCCAGATGATCAAGATCAGTTCTCCTGGATAAAATGGCTGCTTTGGAGCGTGGACTCCATGGCATTATACCTTGCTGAGGTCCCTCCCCTCCCTAAACCCCACCGTCCCCAGGTGCTGGGTAGTGTTTCTTAGAATGACTGTTGGAGTGTTTCTTGTTAGGAGCAGAGGTCATTTCGGGGGGGGGGGGACCAGGGGGGACGAAGTTCCCTAACGCAGTTCCCCCGGGTGAGGTGCAGGGGGCGGGGCACACGATGAAGCCCCGCCCCCCGCTTCTGGCCGCCCCACTTCTGGCCCTCATTCAGCCAGGAGGAGGCAGGAGAAGAGGGAGGGTAAGTTGCTTCCTCCCCGCCTCTCCCCACCCCTGCCTGCCGGGGGCCAGGGAGGGCCTTGGCGGGGCTTCCTCGCACTTCCGCCGGCCTTGCAGGTCCACCGCCGGGCCCCTGATGTCAGGGGGTGTGGCATATGCTAATGAGTTATGCTAATGAGTTCCCCTAGCTCTTTTTCTACGAAATGACCCCTGGTTAGGAGGTTTGATGTTTGAAAAAGACGCTTCGAAATGAATATCAACTCCAGGGGAGTTCGTCCATCAGTGTACCACACCATTGGAGTCAAGCATCTGTAAAAAATAATATTATGGACTATATGAACAAATATTTTGTACTTGCTTCTATATTATAAGCTATATATGCACAACCTCCAGTTGGGGCCTGGAGATCTCCTGGAATTACAACTGAGCAGACATCAGTTGTAATTCCAGGAGAAAATGGCCACTTTGGAGGGTGGACTCTGACATTATGCCCGGCTGAGATCTCTGCCAGTTTGGTGTAGTGGTTTGGTGTAGTTGTTAAGTGCGTGGACTCTAATCTGGGAGAACCGGGTTTGATTCCCCACTCCTCCACTTGCACCTTGGGCAAGCCATAGTTCTGATAAGAGCTGTTCTTGAAAAAAGAGTAGTTTCTGTTAAGAGCTCTCTCAGCCCCACCTGCCTCACAGGGTGTCTGTTGTGGGGAGGGGAAGGGAAAGGAGATCATAAGCCGCTCTGAGACACCTTTGGGTAGTGAAGGGCGGGGTATAAATCCTATCTCCTCCTCCTCTTCTTCTTCTTCTGCCAACTCTGCCCTCCCCAGGCAGGCTCCACCCCCACCCCCCAAATCTAGAGATATTTCCCAAGCAGGAGTTGGCAACTCCGGTTGTCCTCGCATCCAGTGGTGGTGAATCCCACATGTCTTCGTTATGCGTCGTGTGAGAAAGGATCTTCCTTTAGGCCTGTCTGAACTTACCGCGAATAGAATGTAATATAGAACAGGTCTCCCTTACGTTGCATCCTGTCATTTTGAAATCACCCCCTTCTTTCTTTCTTTTCTTTTTTTAAAAAAGTGACCTGACTTCCTATCTCCTCCTTCCTTTCCGCTCCGCTGGCGGTAGAACAGGAACTCCCTCCCTGCCCCAAGACGGGAAAGGCCCAGGGCCGGCCCTCCTGGAAACCTTTGTCGTAGGGGGGGGATCCCCGCCTGGTATGGCTCTGAACTTTGCTGTTCCCATGGCGAGGACAACGTGATCCCAATACAGTTCCCCGTTCCTGGATTCTCAGGCCTGTCAACCTTAATCCCATCCCTGTTGACGACAGCTGGGGAGGATTAGACAGGATTCCTGATGGGCAGCAGTCTGGAATGATCGGCCTTGATGGACAGTGCCAGAAAGGGGGCAAGGGGGAGGCTCTATCTGCAGGCCAAAAGCAGTGCTGCTCTGAAGGGCGCTGAGCATTGCCTCCCCGCCCCCGGTCAATGTTGATGTGACGCTGGCAGTGTTTCAACTGAGTCCGGATTTCCTAGTCCTGTCGACAGCCCATAAATTGTCATGCTATCCAGATTTTAAAATGGCCGCTTAAAACCGAAGCCCTTCGATCGGCGGCTTCCTCACGCGATAAAGAGGAGAAACGGGGGGAGCTCAGTGTACCTCAGACACACAGATGGCGTTTCCCTCCCCCTTTCCGAGGGACATCTTTCCATACGCGTTTATAGTTTAAAAAATCTAGCTGTTGAAAGAAAGAAAGGCAATTAGTTTGCGTGTATTTTTATAATTTAGACTGGAAATGGCCAGTTAGCTGCATGCTGGACTGGCCCTGTGGGCAAT